AGCATATTGTCACCTGATTGCTCCAGTGCTGGAATAATGGGGCCAGTAGACTGGACTTAATGGGTAGAGAAGCCAGGCAGCTGGGATTCCTGTCTAGGGAAAGGAGCATTGACGAAGCAATTTGAAAAGAGACACAAGCCATCACCCTATGGAGACGATACGTGTCAGCTGTGAAGGAAGGAAAATCTTCAAGGAAGATCTGGCATGTTTCCCAGGCATGTGGACCACCACGGAGGAAGGTATGCAGTACCTGAGGGAATCAGCTGTGCTGGAGGTGATGTATAACATTAATCTGGACAATGAGAAGTTATTCCAAGATCTAGATGATGTCAAGTGCCCATGATCTACGTGGTAGAAAACTGCATGGAGTACACCATCATCATATGCCAGCACACTGGCAGCAATGGTCTGGAAAGATAATTAAAATCCAACAGTGGATGAAGTGGCTAGCCTACTTCAACAATATAAATAAGATTCTTTTCTTCCCTATGGGCCTGTGTCTTAGCTGTAGAGAAACTGTCCTGGGAGTTCCAGTAATTCAAAGACATCATGCCCTACTCCCCATCTGTACGGACCAGTGTCTCAACTATTAGAAGTAAGTGTTCCTCTGCTTGAGGGAGGGAATATAGTGGCTACACAACATGAGCTATCCTATGGTTTTATCCATGTGGCCATGGAGAGGACATGAGGAAGTGGGGTAGAAAATCCACCTCAACCCTAGAGGCACAGGTATGAGAGCTGCAAGAAACAGCAATTGGAGAAAAAAAAAAAAAAGATTCTTCCAGGAAAATGGCTGCTGCATTTTCCAGTGGGCAGTCTTTGAGACAAAGAAGATGGTCTGATTCTGCTTCTGACATTGGTAATTAGCATTTTAATTTGCATTCATGAGAAGTGAGTGACGAATACAATAACCAGGACTTGAGGGGCCCTGACTCCAGCCAAGGAGGAAATGGACAACTGGGTTCATTGGACTGTACAAATTTAGTGGCCTGGCACTAACAGGCACTTACAGATAGTTGTATCTGTCTTTCTGGAGTGACAAGGGGATCCCAAGCACTGTATTGGAAGCCAGAGTGAGCCTAACAGGGAATATGTGGCAAAATCACTCCATTGTGACTGTCCCAGAGACTCTGTGCATCCTTGGTATAGATTACTGCAGGAGAGGGTACTTCAAGGACCCAAAAGGGTCCTGTGTACTTTTGGCATAGCTGCCTTGGAGATGGAGGGACAAGTAATCAGCAAGACTCACTCACCCTTTAACAGTCCCATATGGCCAATATGAAAGTACAATGGAGAATGGAGGCTGACAGTGGACTATTGTGGCCTGAATGAAGTCATGCCATTGCTGAGTGCTGCTGTGCTGGACATGCTTCAACACAAACTGGAATCAAAGGCAGCCAAGTGGTACACCACAAATGATATGCCAGTGCATTTTTCTCAGTCCCTCTGGCGGCACAGCGCAGGCCACAGTTTGCTTTCACTTGGAGGGGCGTCCAGTACAACCGGAATTGACTCTCCCAGGGGTGGAAAAAGCCCTAGCGTTTGTCATGGGCTGATCCAGAATGCATTGGAAAAGGGGGAGCACCTGCAGTACATTGATGAAATCATCATGTGGGGCAACACAGAGGTTTTTGAGAAAAGGTAAGAAAACAATACTGACTGAGAGCCAGTCTTGCCATAAGGCAAAGTAAGGTCAAGGAACCTGCACAGGAGATCCCATTCTTAGGAATAAAATGGCAAGATGAACATTATCAGATCCCTATGGATGTGATTAACAAAGTAACTGCTATCTGCCCACCAATGAGCGAAAAGGAAACAAACTTTCTTAGGCTTTTTGTTTTTGAAGGCGTATTCCAAACTACAATCTGGTTATAAACCCTCTCTATCAAGTGATCTGGAAGAAGAAGGATTTCACATATGGCCCTGAACAACAAACCTTTGAACAGTTTTAACAGGAGATAGCTCACGAAGTAGCCCTTGAGTCAGTCCGAACAGGACAAGATGTAAAAAACACGCTCTTCACTGAAGCTGAGGAGTATGGTCCTACTTGGGGACTCTGACAGAAAGTCCCTGGGGTTCTGGAGACAGGAATACAGAGGATCCGAAGCCTTGCTACACTCCAACAGGAAAAGAGATACTGGCAGCGTATGAAGAGAGCTGGAAAAACATCAGAGGTGGAAAGTTGCTGTATGGAGCCCTACACAACAAGTTGCATAAACTGCTTAAGCAGGTGAATTGAGCCAATTTGCAGAACTGAAGGCCATCCAGCTTGTTTTAGATATTGCTGAATGAAAGTAACCAGTTCTCCACCTCTGCACTGACTGATGGTGGCAAAAGCCCAAAGGGGGTGGTTACAACAATAAGAGCAGAACAACTGGCAGGGCAGAGGCAAATACCATCTGGGCCACTGTGCTGTGGAAAGTTACTATATCTGAGGCAGAGAACATGGTTGTAAAGGCATGTCATGTAGATACCCACATACCCAAGCCATGCCACTGAAGAACATTAAAACTGAGTGATGACAGCGTGTCTGGGACCAGGCTTGACCTGGCCTCTACAGTGCAGCAGCAGAGGAAAGGGCAGAGCCAGGAGACTGCAAAAGATTATTCTATACCGTGTGACGTTATGCAGCCTGTAAAGTTGTGGGAAACTGGCTGATGGGCAGCTGCTCCTTGGGGGTTGCTGAGTGTCTAACAGCAGAAGGTGAGAACTTGCATTGCTGATGGGCTGTAGCTGGCAGGCAGTTGTGTCATTACAGGGTGTCTGTTGGCAGGTGGTGACTGACTGCTCTGCAGCTATACATCTGAGGGGATACATGAGCTATACATCTGAGGGGATTGAGTGTACCTTCAGTAAGTTTGCAGATGACACCAAGTTGGGAGGTGGTGTTGATCTGCCTGAGGCTAGGGAGGCCCTTCAGAGGGATTTAGATATGCTGGATTGCTGGGCTGAGGTGAATGGGATGAGGTTCATCAAGGCCAAGTGTCGGGTCCTGCATTTTGGCCACAACAACCCCATGCAGCGTTATAGGCTTGGGGATGAGTGGCTGGATGATTGTGAAGAGGAAAGGGATCTGGGGGTGTTGGTTGATGCTCGGCTGAACATGAGCCGACACTGTGCCCAGGTGGCCAAGAGGGCCAACGGCATCCTGGCCTGCATTGGAAATAGTGTGGCCAGCAGGAGCAGGGAGGTAATCATCCCCATGTACTCAGCACTGGTGAGGCCGCACCTCGAATACTGTGTTCAGTTTTGGGCCCCTCACTACAAGAAAGACATTGAGGCCCTGCAGCGTGTCCAGAGAAGGGCAACAAAACTGGTGAGGGGTGTGGAGCACAAATCTTATGAGGAGCAGCTGAGGGAGCTGGGATTGTTCAGTCTGGAGAAGAAGAGGCTCAGGGGAGCCTCATTGCACTTTACAACTTCCTGAAGGGAGGCTGATGAGGGGTTTGGCCTCTTCTCCCAGGCAACGAACAGGACCCAGGGAAATGGCCGCAAGCTGCACCAGAGGAGGTTTAGGTTGGACACGAGGAAAAACTTCTTCTCTTAGAGAGTGGTCAGGTGCTGGAATGGCTGCCCAGGGAAGTGGTGGAGTTGCCATCTCTGGCTGTGTTCAAGAGGCACCTGGATGAGGAGCTACGAGATATGGTTTAGTTTGTGGTAGCAATGGTAATGAGAAGATGGTTGGACTAGATGATCTTACAGGTCATTTCCAACCTTGTGATTCTATGATTCTATGATTCTATATGCATGTATGTATATTGTTATCACTGTATATTTGTTTCCATGTTCTTCTCTCTTTAGTAAACAGTTTTTATCTCAACCCATGAGTTTTATTCTGCTTACAATTCTCTCCCTCATCACACCTGGGGGACAGAGAGCTCCTGGCCATGCAGTGCTGAGCTGTTGCTGGGTCTGGTTATAGGCTCTGACAATGGAGGGAATGCTGGGCACCACCAAGCAGCATTCACACAGATTATCAGGGATTGACTGTAGCATGTTCTCTTTTTTGACGCCTGGACTATTTACTACCCCATTTTTGGGCAAATAATAACTGTGTAGAATCACAGAATTGTTGGGATTAGAAGGGACCTCTGTAAGTCAACAAGTTCAACTTTCCGCTAAAGGAGGTTCCTACAGAAAAGACAACATCTGGGTGGGTCTTGAATATCTTGAACAGAGGGTGAGACTCTATAGCCTCCCTGGGCAGTCTTTTCCAGTGCTCCATCACCCTCAAGGTAAAGAATTTCTTCCCCATGTTTGTATGGAGCTTCCTGTGTTCCAGTTTGTGCCCACTGCCCCTTAGTCTATTGCTGAACACAACTATAAAGAGTTTGGCCACATCCATTTGGCTCCCACAATGTGGGTATTTACAAGCACTGACACGATCCCTCCTTGGTCTCTTTCCTTCCCCAGACAGAAGAGTCCCATGGCTCTCAGCCTCTCCTTGTATGGGAGATGCTCCAGGCCCCTCATCATCCATGGCTGAGAGGTCTCAGTTTCATAGATGAGGAGTTACTCGCAGTTCTGTCTGCTGTTCACCTGCCCACAGCTCAGCCCTGCAGTGGAGTCAGCAGCGTGTTAAGTGGCTCTCATCCCCAGAGCAGTGTGGTTACAGCAGATGTCAGAGCTCAGAACACTTCCTCCATCAAAAAGGGATACAATCCAGCACTGGCATGAAGCACAGAGCTTGTTCGATGCCTCTGTGATGCTCTTGGGTCACACGCATGACATCTCACACCATAACACTGCCATACAAGGAGCTTCCATCATCTGCAATATCTCTTCAGGAGGCAGCCAAGGATGCAGCAGGACCTCCTCAGGCGGATTACAGCTTCAGACCCATCGTTACTCCCGTTACAGGCTGTGAACCTGATGGCAGTGAACGCGTTTAGAGAGACCTCACGCGCTAGCAGCGCGCCCCAGCAGGGTGCCGATGAAAGAGCAGCAAAATGGCGGCCCCAGCCCCTCCAGGCAGCGCCGCGGCCGCCCCGGGCAGGCGCAAGGAAGGAGCGGCCGGGCCGCTGGGAGGTGCTGCCGCGGTGCCCGCCCCGCCGCCTCCGGGCTCCGTCGTGCGGCCTGGCTGCGCCGTGCGAGCGGACGGAGCGGTAGGAGGGGGCTGGGGCGCTGTGCTGAGACCTGCCTTTGGGCTGGGGGAGGTGGACCCGCGCTGAGCTTAATGGGGATCCTGAGCGGTGGGAGGGGGGGAGGATGCGGGGGGGGGG